GTCCACTGTTTCTCCTTTGTTCGAGCTTTAATTTCGTTGCACCTTGAGGTCTGGAATTCTCCCCTGATTATGGCCTTCTTTGTGTCGAAAGACATCGGGCGGTTCATGCATTGCAAAATCGTTGTCCCCTTCTTAGCAAGTGCATCAGCAAGCTCATTGCTTGCAATGCCACAGTGACCAGGAATCCATTGTAGGACCACTGTTTTGTTTTTTCTCTCTCAGCAGCTGATAGAGTTTTCTACATTCGTTTATCTCAGCTGTTTTCGGTTGCTCTCTGCTTCCAATTGTGTTTATTGCTGACTGTGAGTCCGAAAGTATCACCGCTTTGGTGAATTTCATACCCAGACAACATAAATCATTGCGTAATCTTCTTAGGCAACATTCATTGCCACCACTCTTTTCGCATTAAGGTTTAAAATTGGCCCCAAAAGTGAAAGAGAAGACAAGTTCTGTACTTCTTTTTACTTGTTCAAAATTTAGAAAATTTGATCCGGAAAACGTAAAAGATGGCTACCTGCGGCGGAAACAATTAACAAAAGGTTTTAATAAAACGCTCTATTGATTTACTACTTCAAAAAATGGCTTAATAACTTTGTGCAAAACAACCCAACCACATTAAGAAATATAAAGATGTTGTACATCAAGGACTTTTTTAAATGGCAGCTACGTATTTACGTCACAGTATTATATATTATTACCTAAACCTATCCTAATATAGCAACTTATATAAATTTCGAGTGCTAAAAGCAATCAACATTGCTCAATGCTGTGTTTTAATGAAGCATTTACTTATTTGGTTGGCTACGTTCCTAAAAAATTGAATTTCAAATAGCGCCTCCAGACGTGTTGAATAAGTTCTTGTCTGTCATATTCAGCATTGAGTGATCGGTTTGCCTTAATCATGGCAGTCGGTCTTGCCAAGTCAATTCCTACTACTCCAATAATTGAGTAGAAAAATGTTCTCACAATGTATAAAGTAGCTTACAGATAGTGGTGCCGAGAAAACCAATCTGTTTTTTTGGTATAACAACTTGAGAGATTTTCGCTCAAGGTGAAATATTCGTGTCTACAATGATCTTATTTTTGTCACGGGGGTGCGCAATAGACTTACCTCCACATGGTGCAGCCTGGGCAACGTATACTTATACGGCGAAAAAGTCTATTGATCGGCAGTTGACTTCTGACTCCAAACTACTATGGTCCAACTATTTTTCATATTCGACCCCTACCACAGTACTCATCTTACCTTTTTATGCCTTTGTGCCTGTCTGTCTGTCTCTTTTACATCTGTGAATCACTCTGCTGTTCCCAATCTCAACTTTTTGTCACTTCGACGTTCATTCTCCTCTCTCTGAAGCCCCAAAGTCAGCTCCAGGGCTAATGATAACTATCAAAACGCCTGCCATTTGATATAAATAAATAGAATAAATAATTTTTTTCTACAGTTAAAAATAGAAAAGAAAGTAAGCAATTTTGAATGGTAGGTTTCTTCGTAAGATTCTTGAGGAGACAGATAAATCAACATGAGCTGAGGTCTAGTCAAGCATGATTATATATATATTTATGGACTGTCATATTAATCAGTGAAATGTGAGCCAGAAAATTTGAAGGGCCATGAAAGTCAAACGCCAGGATACCTTAGTTCACCTTGAGTTCAGCTTTACAAATAGAAGCATATTGACCTCCAAAATTGGCCATCAGTACCCCGAACTAAATAACAGCAGATGACAAAACGCATACCTACAAAAAATTATGACTATTAAATATTAATGAATGAAAAATTATTTATTCTTACTCTCCAATAGGAGTAATGAATTGGGCAAAGTGAAAAATCAATTACCTTACTTATTAATATAAAATTGTAAAATCGCGAATCAGATGGTAAGCAGATAAATAATCAGGGGCATCCAAATTGGATCGTGAGCTCTAGAAGAAAGGAAGCGGCAAAACATTCAGGGAGATTTTGGTATTTTGGGAGAAGAATACTGAAGTTAATCAGGAATTTTAATTATATTATTAAAACCTGAGGGCGTTTTAAAGTATAAAAGAAGTTACCTTTTCCCTAATCAACCTTCCCATGCCACCCCTTGCCCATAGTTAGTTGATCAACAAATTTTACATTCACATTCCTGCAATTTCCTCAGACGTTTTGATAGTTATCATTAGCCCTTTAGCTGACTTCGGGCTTCACAGGGGTGAAGTTGTAAAAGAGACAGGCACAAAGGCAGAGAAAAGGTAGGAGGAGTACTGTAGAAGTGGTAGAATATGGCATACAGTGGGGTGATGGTAGTTTGAAGTGAGAAGTCAACTGTCAGTTAATAGACTTTTGCCGTATGAATATACGTTGCCCAGGATGCACCACGTGGAGGTAAGTCTATCGCACACCTCATTCGGAATGAAGGTTGTTAGCTTAACTATGTGTCGGCAATTTCACTATTCATCACTCTTCTTGTAAAATTAAAGAAAATATTTAGGTATTATTGTAGTATACAGTTAATGAATTTTACCTACCATAAAAATCTAATCATGAAATAATAATAATAATAATGAGATTATTATTGATAAATCTGTATTACAATGAGGTGAGGACTGATAGGGAGAGTTACTGTTGTAAACTAATGGAAACAAAAGAAAAAAGCTCACCTGACCCCCATTGCAGATTTGGCGTGGGACACCCACGAAGAGACCCTAAAAATATTCGTGGGCTTGTGGCGATACTTAACATATTTTGCGTTTTTGAATTCCCAGCCAGTGAACATAAATTAGGCTGCTTGCATAACAGCTGTGATTTATAAAGCGTTTGAATGCGCCTTATCTAACTCGGGACTTTGAAGGTGCAACAGATGCCAAGAATTATAAGAATTCAAATTAAAAATTGTAAAATGCCAAGCTTGTTTCAATAAATTTCACAAAACTCAGCTTGGTCCAAGAGAAAACAGCGTAGGTGAGCTTACACTTTGTCACTAACTTTAAGAGCATGCAGATTAATCGGAAACTGTATTGAAATTCTCTAGGTCCTTTTCTAGATTGGAGGGAAGACAACCTGTAACCGTTCTCACAAGAAACTCTTGTTGATCAGATTTATTCGTGGTTATTTATTACTAGCATCGACGGACATTAATCACGAGACCTACAACTTGGCAGAAGTGCTCCTTCGACTTCCGTGTCAAAGGGGGTGTTGATGGATGCCTAAAATTCTGCATAGTGTGAGGTCAGTTCATTAAGATATGCGTAATAACCACCTAAACGAATCGGATGTTTGATTTTATTGATTGGGCATTCTGTTAGGAGTGAAAAATAGGTGCAACATTCAAGGCCAGAATAGTAAACAAGCTTTATTCACATCAGTCATTCTCTTCTCAAGTACTCAATATACGATGCTATTGCTACCCTAACTAATCCTTGGCAGATTTTGATTTCGGCTTTTGTTTAAGTTTTTCAATCAAGTAAAAATTAAAATACCTCTAATATTTGGGGAGACGTTTGCGATTAAATTTGATTTGAAATATTTATTTATTTATTTCAAATGGCAGGCTTTATGATATTTATCATTAGCCCTTAAACTTTGACTTCAGCTTCCCCAAGGGGGGGGGTACATTTATAGCAGTTAATTAATAGCAATTCATTAGCTGTCTTCTTGCCTTCCAGTATCTTTGGCTTTCCGTACTTGTCTTTAGGGCTGGACACCGAATCAGGTGGGTCTTATCCATTTCCTCCTGTAGGTTACATAGGGTGAGTGTATAATCCCAATCTGTGAAGGTGTTTTGCCAAGCAATCGTGTCCGGTACGTAGTCTAAACTCAGAAACGGCTTCGATTCTTGGCCAGTCGGGTATGTCGGAGATTGCCACTGTCCACTGCTTCTCCTTTGTTCGAGCTTTAATTTTGTTGCACCTTGAGGTCTGGAATTCTCTCCTGATTAAGGCCTTCATTGTGTGGAAAGACATCGGCCGGTCCATGCATTGCAAAATCGTTGTCCCCTTCTTAGCAAGTGTGTCAACTACATCAATGTCTGCTAATGGGTTCATGGGGGGAGAGAGGCTTTTTGGTTTGCCATCGATTTGTAATGCTTTCTTCAGTTCTATGGCTTTCTGTATTAGACCAGATTGCGTTTTCAGGTGTCTTGGTCTATTCTCATAGGTGCTGAAGAACTTGTCCATGGGAATGCGCAGTAGCTTCTCATACAGGATCAAGGCCTTTTCTTTGATAAGGGAACCTATTGTGGTGCTTTCTGTAACTAGGAGCATTGCATCAATGGGTGTTGATTTTATGCCTCCAGTAATTAGTCGTAATGCTTGGTTGTGTGTCTTCTCGAGTGGTTTGAGAGTCACCTCTGTGGCTGTAATGAGTGGCTCACAGCAATACAACATTATTGGCTGAATAAACATCTTGTAAGTGGTGTTTAGAGTTGAGCGCGCACAGCCCCATANTTTTTCTTTTGCTTGTGGGAATAGAACCTCGCAAAGCAGTTAGCTATTTCGATGTCGGTGGTAAGCAATTCGCTGTTTAAGCGTACTGGTTCTTTCTTGGGTTTTTCTCTGTTGTTTTGCAGGTTTCTCAAAAATTTGAGAGTGGGTTGGCTATCACTTTGAAAGTTGATATTTGAGATGAACTTGTCGAAGGAAGTTCGTTTAGCTTGTAAGATGGCTTGCCTTAGGACAGCTGATTTTCGTCTCCAGGCTTTTACGTCTTCCATTCTTCCAGTCTGATCAGCAGTGTTGCGAAGGGTGTCCCTCCTTCTTTTCAGTTCCTCAAGGTGTCTAGACCAAAACACTCGATAGTATTTAGTCTTACCTCGGGGAATAGTTTTCTTTGCACATCTGATCATAATATTCGTGATATCAGTGCAAAGTTTATCAGGATGTTGGTTGAAGTTGAGGGGACTTGTGTGAAGTTCATTCTCCAAAAGGTTTGTGAATCTAGACCAGTCAGCCTTCTTGAAGTTCCATGATAGCTTAGTTGGCACTTTCCTTGACATGCTTTTGCTACCGAAGGTAATACTAGCAATGACTGGTTTGTGACCGGAACCAGGATCGTCAATTATTTTGCGGTGTGTATGCTCACTGATGTCGCTTGAAGCCAAGAGTAAATCAGGAGTTGTTCTGGTTCCATTGTAGTGCAAATATGTAGCCGGATCCTCATTGCTATAAATAAGTTCCAGAATGTTGCTGTTTACCATGTCTTCAATTTCCTTTCCAGCTATGTTTGTATCCTTGTAGCCCCATCTGGTGGAGTGGGCGTTGAAGTCTCCTAATACTATAGTTTTGAGTGAGATGTTCAGAAAGTCAAAGTTAACACAATTCTGGGGTGGATTATAGACTGTGAATATCTTGAAGTGGTTTTGACATTTCTAAACATTTAATCTGATTATTTCACATATGTCTTGTGTCGTGCCCCCCATACTCTTGATTAGGTCGTAGTATGAGGTGAGGCCTTCTTTTTAACTCCAGTTAGAATTCCACTTGCAACTTGCCGGTATTTAGGTAGATTGTACAGGGTGTAACCTGGGAATTGGTAGTACTTCAGTTTGTCATCCGAAATGTTAGCTTCCACAATTGTGAAAATGTCTACATCATAGGTTTGTATGATTTTCTGTACTTGGATCTTTTTGTCCGGAGACGTTCCTCCAGCATTCCACTGGAGGATCTGAAGACGTTGTGATTCGCCCTGACGAGGGCGATTTTTCTTATAGCCTTTTTTAAAGCTAATTATAATAAATCGAAGTCAAAAACGAATGCCGAGTGATAGACTTTTTTGCCTTAAGAAAATACGTTGTCCAGGGTGCACCACGTGGAGGTAAGTCTATCGCGCACCCCTGATTTGGAATAAAAAAGCCAATTTTGTAAAAATATTTAGTTTGAAAATGAAAAGGGACTGAACGTATGATTAAGGATTATAAATTTTAAATATTTATTTATTTGCATCAGATGGCAGGCGTCTTGATGGTTATCATTGGCCCTTTAGTTGACTTCAGGCTTCATAGGAGGGAAGCAACATCAAATTGGAAAAAAAAATCGAGAGGGGGGAAGAGAAGAGTGTTTCAAAGATGTAAGAGACAAACACAAAGTTTGAAGAGTGTTTCAAAGATGTAAAAGAGACAGACACAAAGGTGAGTGTTTCAAAGATGTAAGAGACAAACACAAAAGTAGAAAAAGGTGAGGTGAGTACTGTAGAAATAGGCGAATATGGTATAGAGTGAGGTGATGGTAGTTTGAAGTGAGAAGTCAACTGCCAGTCAATAGACTTTTTGCCGTATGAATATACGTTGCCCAGGGTGCACCACGTGGAGGTAAGTCTATCACACACCCCAATTTTTAATATAATGCCGACGACTTATCGAAAGAATGTCATCTTGATATAGAAATGGTTGGAAATATTGTGATTTTACTCCGCAATAGACAACTTTTTCTTCAAGTGAGGCCTATTTAGAGCTTAGGAACATTAATAAAAAATTTGGTTTATGTTGTTAAAGATTTATTGTGTTACTATAACTGTTACATGTTCAGCTTAATCGGCCTACGGTAAATTGCCCAGAAACAGTGGTACGTTTTAAGTTTAAATATAACAAAGGCTTAAATTTTAATAAAAATGAATATTTATTTATTTCAAATGGCAGGCATTTTGATAGTTATCATTAGCCCTTTAGATGACTTTGGGCTTCACAGAAGAGAGGAACATTAAAGTGAGAAAAATTCGACAGGGGAAAAGAAGAACGATTCACAGATGTAAAGGGGACAGACAGACATGAAGGCAGAGAAAAGGCTAGATGAGTTCTGTGGAGGGGGTCGAATATGACATGCAGTCGGGCCATGGTAGTTTGAAGTCAGAGGTCA